AATCTATGATATTATATCTATCATATACATATATATGTGTGTGAATCATATATATCTATGTATAATGGGTGGATGGCTCTTTGTCAGGAGGGCTTTGATTATGTTTTCTTGCCCTGGTAAAGGGAGTTGGACTGAATGGCTTTGAGTATCTTTTGTTGGTCATAGGGGTTCGCGGCTGACGATGGAGGCTCAGGTCGCTGCTGCCAGCAAACAGGCCTTTTTCCATCTACGACAAGCGAGGCAACTGGCACCTTACCTGTTGGATGAGGCTCTGGCAACAGTCATCCATGCCACGGTCACGTCTAGGTTGGACTATTGTAACGCCTTGTATGTCGGCCTTCCTATTTCTACGACCCGAAAGCTCCATATTGTCCAGAATGCTGCAGCCAGGTTACTCACAAAAATGCCCGTGAAATGCCATATAACACCAGTGCTGCGGCATCTACACTGGCTCCCAATTGTGTATCGTGGTTTGTATAAGATGCTGGTCCTGACCTTTAAAACTTTATATGGCCAGGGTCCATTGTATCTTAGAGACCGTCTCTCCTTCTACCATCATCGGAGGTCGCCACGACCATCCCAACGCGATTTGCTCTGTTTACCGGGTCCTAGGGAAGTGCACTTGGAAAGCACCAGACGCAGGGCTTTCTCTGTTTCCGCCCCTGCCTTGTGGAATTCCTTGCCTCCCTATTTGAGAGCCATACGTGACTTGGGGCATTTTATTCTAGCACTTAAGACCTGGCTTTTTACTAGAGCATTTGACCCATGTAAATCGCTTGGAGCATCTCGGATGGAGGGCGATTAATAAATAATTAAAGATGATGATGATGATGATGTGTGGGAAGTTTGCCCCAATTCTCTCATTGGTGGGGTTCAGAATGCTCTTTGATTGTAGATGAACTATAAATCCCAGTAGCTACAACTCCCAAATGTCAAGGTCTATACCAGGTGGAAAATTAACTTAAATATAGTGACTAATATATACTAATACATATACTATGTACACTCTAACACACTATATATTAATAATCTAATAATACTACTCACTACTTTAATGTTCGCTAAATCAAATCCCTTACTAGCGGTAATAATAGCGTGCATATATTAGATGATTAATAATATCACTAAAAACTAAATATAGACACAACTATAGAGTACTATAATCAGCATAAAACCTTACTAAATAACTTAATAGTCTTATCAGACAAAAGCTACTAAAATAGCTACTATAATGACATAGACTATATATAACTCTAAAAATAAATATTACTATATAATACTACACTGGGATAAGCACTTTCTGTTAACTACAAAAGTAACTACAACTCCCAAATGTCAAGGTCTATTTCCCCCAAACTCCATCTGTGTTTATATTTGGGCATATTGAGTATTCGTGTAGAGTTTGGTCCAGATCCATCATTGTTTGAGTCCACAGTGCTCTCTGGATGTAGGTGAACTACAACTCCCAAACTCAAGGTCAATGCCCACCAAACCTTCTAGTGTTTTCTGTTGGTCATGGGAGTCCTGTGTGCCATGTTTGGTTCAATTCCATCATTGGTGGAGTTCAGAATGCTCTTTGATTGTAGGTTAACTATAAATCCCAGCAACTACAACTCCCAAATGACAAAATCAATTTTTTGAGTGATGGTCACTCCTTGGGTTAGTAGGTGTCTTGTGGCCAAATTTGGCAGCAATTCATCCAGTGGTTTTTGAGTTATGTTAATCCCACAAATGAACATTACATTTTTATTTATATAGATCAGGGGTCCTCAAACTTTTTAAACAGAGGGCCAGGTCACAGTCCGTCAAACTTTTGGAGGGCCGGATTATAATTTGCAAAAAAAGGAATGAATTCCTATGCACACTGCAAATATCTTATTTGTAGTGCAAAAAACACTTAAAAGAATGCAATCATTAAAATGAAGAACAATTTTAACTAATATAAACGTATTAGTATTTCAATGGGAAGTGTGGGCCTGCTTTTGGCTGATGAGATAAGATTGTTGTTGTTGTGTGCTTTCAAGTCGTTTCAGACTTAGGTTGAGCGACGGCCGGTTAAATGACCTTGGAGGGCCGCATCCGGCCCCCGGGCTTTAGTTTGAGGACCCCTGATATAGATCATAGACTCATAGAGTTGGAAGAAACCTTGTGGGCCATCCAGTCTACCCCCCTGCCAAGATGCAGGAAAATCACATACAAAGCTCCCCCAACAGATGGCCATCCAGCCTCTGTTTATGAGCCTCCAAAGCAGGAGCCTCCATCACAGTCCGGGGCAGAGAGTCCCACTGCTGAACAGTTCTCACAGGCAGGAAGTTCTTCCTAATGTTCTGTGGAATCTCCTTTCCTATAGTTTGAAGCCATTATTCCACACCCCAGTCTCCAGGGCAGCAGAAAACAAGTTTGCTCCCTCCTCCCTATGGTTTCCCTTCACATATTTATAAATGGCCATCATGTCTCAGCCTTCTCTTCTTCAGGCTAAACATGCCCAGATCTTTAAGCCACTCCTCATAGGGCTGGTGCTCCAGACCACTGATCATTTTAGTCGCCCTCCTCTGGACACATTCCAGCTTGTCGACATCTCCGTTAAACTGCAGCGCCCAGAACTGGACACAGTATTCCAGGTGTGGTCTAGCCAAGGCAGAATAGAGGGGTAGCATGACTTCCCTGGATATAGACACTAGACTCCTATTGATGCAGGCCAAAATTCCATTGGCTTTTTAAACTGTATCATCACACTTTTGGCTCATGCTTAACTTATTGTCCGCAAGGACTCCAAGATCTTTTTCACACATAGAATCATTGAGTTGGAAGAGACCTCATGGGCCATCCAGTCCAACCCCCTGCCAAGAAGCAGGAAAATTCCATTCAAAGCACCCCTGACAGATGGCCATCCAGCCTCTGTTTAAAAGCTTCCAAAGAAGCCTCCGCCCCCACCCCCCAAATAAGGGATAGTAACTTATAGTTCTGTAAAGGGCAAGGGCACCAGACTGCACAATAGGGGTTAAGTCTTGGTCAATTTGCCAAGACACTAACAACAAGGACCCCATGAGGCTTTTGGGGAGCAGATTGGTCCCTGGGCTCCAGCCCTTGGAAAGAGTTACAGTTTTCCAAGGGCCAAGGACAAGTCTCAACCTCAACACTGCAGGACTCCCTTGGCTGGCTCAGTGGTCCATACAAGCTGTGGTCTTACAGCATCTAGAACTGGTGAGGCCATCATATGACCCTGCAGAGGTTGGTAGACTACAACTCTCAACATTCCTCACCATTGTCTGTGTGGCTAGAATTGATAGGAATTGTGGTCTGAAAAGTCTTACAATTCCTGCTCCAGATCGAGAGGCTCACAATTTGCTACTGCTAAATGCACTGGGACTGTGGTGCGGCTGGCTGGGAGTCAGCTGCATTAAGATCACTACTGACTAAAAAGGTCGAGTCCGAAGCCAGCCCGGGTCGGAGTGAGCTTTCAACCAATTTGTGTAGCTTGCGGTCAGCCCGAAAGACAGTTGCATCTGTCAAGTAGGAAATTTAGGAACTGCTTATATGGGGGGGGGGGGGGGGGGGGGGGGGAGGGAAGGCTAACTTATGACACCATAAAAATCTCCAGCAAGTATGCAAAGAATGAGGAAGCACTTCATCCGTGTCACAAATGGATAGTGAAATGACACCTCTTCTGGTGGCCAGAATACCCTCATGAAAAAGCTGGAATGTTAAATGAAAATATAGTCCACAGCCTCACCATAACTATACCACTGCCTCGAAACCATGCAGCAACAAGAGCAACTGGTCTCGTGAAACATAATGCCAGGGATGTCAGGAGGGGAGAGACTGACTACCCACGGAATATTACTATTACCACGTCAGGTCTAGATTATTAAATATAGCTTTCTGTGGGCGAGCAGATGGCAACCACTAGATGGCATATGTTCTGCATCAGAAACTAGAGCTGATGTTGCCTATCTAATGCAATTTTTTGAATCATCACCCCAAATAATCAAACTACATCTACAGTTGACCAATCTACAGTTGATTCATAACACTTTTGGTATTTGTGTTGGAGAGTGGTCCCTGGTCAAAATAAGGTTGGGAATCACTGCTATAAAGTATGTATGTGTTAATGGCCTCTGTATTGTGCCTGTATGGAGCACAGTTACCTTCCCGCCGGAGCGGTACCTATTCGTCTACTCACATTTGAATGTTTTCGAACTGCTAGGTTAGCAGAAGCTGGGGCTGACAGCGGAAGCTCACACCGCTCCCCGGATTCGAACCTGCAATCGTTTGGTCAATAAACTCAGCAACTCAGCGCTTTAACCCACTGCACCACCGTGGCTTCTTAAGATACATTTAGGTAGGTAATCTAAATTCTCAATTCATTTGGTTTGTAGTTCAACAGATTCTTACATCCTCAACCCCTGGTCTGATTTCTGGATTTCTCTACTTTTTCTCCCATCTTCTTTATTCTCTTTGTTCTGAGGATGAAGAGAATTTGAAAGCTTGCAGATTTCTGTGATGGTTTGGTTGCTTCTAAGCAAGGTTTGCTCAGCTATGAAGTTTTTGATTCCTGGTATAGATTTTAAAATTGGCTTTTAATTTCAAATTTCTGAATCAAACACAGAAACAAAAGGCCAAAATGCATTTATGAGTTAATCCCTATGTAATCGGACAAGGCACTTCAGCTTACCCTAATCGCATTGTGTTGTAGAATCGGCACAGATCCAGATTTTGCATTGTAGACATTCTGTGATATGATCATCTCCCCAATAGTAAAAAATGTCCTCAAATTTCAATCACTTACCATGTTCTTTCTCACAAACAAGCAAAAAAGCCCAACATATCTATTGATTTTTCTTTCCTCCCCAAATTAGGTAATCCTTTGTGTCAATTTAATGTATTGAGAAAAACAATGAAGTAGTTAAGGTACGCGTGGACGCCATTTGGAAGATACCAAAACACTTCAATCGAGTGGAATTCAGCAGGGTGATTGAAAACATGTACATATTATTGCGTCATATTTTGTTTGATTTTATTTCAGTTCCACTCCCCCTTTGGCTTTTTGGAAGGTGGATCATATTCGAAGAATGGAACACATTTGATTTTGAACACACAAACACTTTGGAGAATTTTAATATCCCACACTATATTGGGCTTAGGAAATACTCCACAACTAATACAATATAATTTTTAAACTATCAACCACAAAAGTTAACTAAGTTATCTGTGTAATAGAACATAGTGTCCAAAACAATACAGCAAAAATGGCAAAATGGTAAAACACACAATCACTTCAATGAATATTGATATTGAATTAAAGGTGAACTGAGAACATTGTGAACGTTGCTACATATGCTGAAACAGTGTTAACTAAGAAGAAAGTATGAGCCATGTTTGAAAGTTTAGCTTTGCAAAGACAGTCTCAAATCCAAAAGAGCACTGAGATATTCTTCATTTCCAGGATCCAGTTCCAAGGCTCGTTCATAGCATTCGATTGCTTCTTTCTTTTCCTCATGGAGTCGGTGAGCAAACCCAAGAGTAGCAAAACTCTTCGCATCAGCTAGACCTCTACGAATTCTTTTTTCCATTAACTTCTTCAAATAGTTTATGGCTTTCTTTCTATCGATTGACTCTTGTTCAATTTCCACTGCTTTCAGATAAAACTTCAGCGCTTCAGATTCAGATCTTCTGCGAAACTCCTGAAAGTTTCCGTAATTGAGATACAACTGCTGCTTTTCTAGACAGGTTAGCTTGGTCTTTGCAAACAGCCTCTGGAAGATTTCTTCTGCTTCCTCAAGCTGTGCCCCTTCTGCATACATGTTGGCAAGGTCCAGATGTGCATAGACATATTGGGTTTTGCGTTCTACCACTATCTTTAAATGATTGATGCAAAGTTGGAGCAGCTCTTCCATTTCTTCAGTGGGCTGTCCTCTCCCATTGGCTCGTTTCAGCTGATAGAATTGTTTTCGGTAGCAAATTGCAACCTGGTGATGTAAGAAGCTTGAATTCGGTGTCAGACTCAAGGCCTCCATCAAATACTTCAGGGCTTTTTGCACATCACCCTTTTTCCTATAAAATTTGGCAGCATACCTCAGAACGTAAGGAATGCCCGGGTGTTTTGCAAGGGCTTCCTCGATGTACTTTTCCCCTTCTGGTGTGTTACCGCTTTCCTGCAGCTTTATGGCAAGGATGGGCACCACGAAGACATCATCCGGGTTCAGCTGGACTGCCCGCCGCAAGAGTTCCAGTGATGACCCTTCAGCCGCAGACCTTTTCTCATAACAATCTTCCAGGCGGTACACAGTGATCGCATATCCTGTATTAAATTCTGGGTTGTCAGGGTCTTCTTCTAAGGCTTTTGCAAAGCATTCCTTGGCCTTTTCATAATACTTCCCCCCAAATTTGAGAAGGGCCCATCCCTTTTCACAAAAGATTTGGGGGAGTTTCATCTTATATGGTGTGACACTTCCATGTTCCTTGCAGGTCCTTTCTATCTTGTCTATGCACTCTTGCGCCTCTGCCAGTTTGTCCATGTGGTAGTACAGCCAAGCATAGTTACTCCAGGTAACAAGGCTTTGCTTCTCAGTGTCCACAGGATGCGCTGTTTTAACAGCCTCTTCAGCCTTTTGTAAGGTTTTCAGAGCTTCTTCCTTCTTGCCGTTCAAAAATTTCACATAGGTTAGCAGGTGATAATTTTGGATTTTGGATCTGGAGTGTAAAAACTCAATCTGCTCGACAATTCTCTCCTCCAGTTCATCAGGATCAATGTCCTCCTTTAGCAGCACCCAAGTGAAGTGGCAGTCCAGCTTCAGCAGGGCCTTCTTCATTGAATTCTTTACAACGTCACTAGCAAAGAAAGAGAAACACATTTGAAAACTTGGTTCATTTTTGGTGCTGGTCATCGACCATAATCTATATAAATAAAAATTTAATGTTCGTTTGTGGGATTAACAGAACTCAAAAACCACTGGACGAATTGACACCAAATTTGGACACAAAACACCTAACAACCCTATGTATGTCCTTCACTCAAAAAAACTGATGTTGTCATTTGGGAGTTGCAGTTGTTGGGATTTATAGTTCACCTACAATCACAGAGCATTCTGAACCCCACCAATGATGGAAATGAACCAAACTTGGCACACAGTTTTCCCATGACCAACAGAAAATACTGGAAGGGTTTGTTGGGCAGTGTCCTTTGGTTTTGGAGTTGTAGTTCACCTACATCCAGAGATCACTGTGGACTCAAACAATGATGGATCTGGACCAAACTCTACACGAATACTCAATATGCCCATATGTGAACACTGGTGGAGTTTGGGGAAAATAGAATCTTGACATTTGGGAGTTGTAGTTACTGGGATTTATAGTTCACTTGCAATCACAGAGCATTCTGAATCCCACCAACGATAGAATTGGGCCAAACCTCCCACACAGAACCCCCATGTGGGCCACAGCAACGCGTGGCAGGGGACGGCTAGTCTATATAAATAAAAATGTAATGTTAGTTTGTGGGATTAACAGAACTCAAAAACCACTGGATGAATTGACATCAAATTTGGACACAACACACCTATCAGGCCAATGAGTGACTATCACTCATAAAAACACTGAAAAACACAGTGGAAGGGGTGTAAAAGCAAAAGGACGCTACTGCACATGTGAAAAATGACTCCCCTGGCAAACAAAATACACAATAGCATATCCACACTCTCTTCTAGACTACAGCTCCCAGCATTCCCTAGACCAGGCCCTTTAGGAGAGGAGGATGATCCAAATGCACTGCTTCCAAGCTGCAAGCTTTCTTCTCCTTGGATTTCTTTGAGAGCATCCCAATCCCTGCATATTTCCAATTTCCTGTTCCTGGACTGCAACTCCCAGCAATCCTCCAGATAGATAAGATAGATAGAGATAGATAGGTAGGTAGGTAGATCAATCAAGAGGACTGCTGGGAGTTGCAGTCCAAGAATAGGTAGAGAAGGAAGAAAGGGGAGAAAGAGGAAGGGAAAGAAAAGTGGGGGAAGAAGGAAAGAAGAGAAGGAGGGAAGAAGAGAGAGAGAAAGAAAGAAAGAAAGGAAGGAAGGAAGGAGAGAAAGGAAGAATAGAAAGAGGGAGGGAAGGTTGGCCACAGCAACGCGGGGTGGGTTCAGCTAGTAAATAATACATATCTATCTCTATCTATCTATCCACACAGTAGCCGTCCCCTGCCACACGTTGCTGTGGTCCAGTCTTTGTATATGTGTTTTGTGTATGTATATGTAAATGTGTATATATGTGTGTTTGTGTATATATGTGGGTTTGTGCGTGCGTTGTAATGTATTTTTATTATTATTGTTGGTTTTTAAGTCCCTTCCTGTGTTTTTCAGTGTTCACTCATTGGCCTGAGAGGTGTATTTTGGATTGTATTTTGGGTTGTATTTTGGATTTTTTTGCATTTGAACTTTTAAACGGAAAGCCAATCTGGGTGCAATTGATTCCAGCAATGGGGCATTCCTTCCCATTAGGCAGACTATGGCTGCATCTACAGTACACTGTACTATTTGCTTTCCCCTTCCAGTGAGCCTGGGAGAGAAGGGCTATTTGCCTCCTCAATGAATTGAGGCAAACAACATAAAAGAAGTTGGGTGCGCAGCCTGGTCAGTCAATTTTTACCTTTTCATTCCGGTTTAGACATTGACCCACCCATCCCATCCTTTAACTGTATACCATGAAAAACTATGTTATAAGTTGGTCAGTCAGAAGGTAACTGGACTCTAAAAACTCAAGAAGAAATAAACAAATATTATGGAAATATCTCTTGGCTTCAATATAACGAATTAAAAGAACATTATAGAGAGGATAGCAAGACAGGTTTTATGGAAAGGGAAACATATTGTGATAAAATAATGATATCTGACAAGAAAATAATTACAAAAATTTACAAGAAACTATTGGAGTGGAGTACTGAGAGGGAATAGATAAAAGACTGTATGGTAAAATGAGCATCAAATTTTGGAAGAAAAATAAGATTGGAAGAATGGGAGGATATTTGGAATAGGAAATTAAATAATGCATACGACCTTATGGAAAACTGGTTTAAAATGATGTACAGATGGTATATTACCCCCCCCCCCCCCCGGCAAAATTAGGACAATTCAATAAAAAGATGCAAACCAAATGTTGGAAATGTGAAATACAGGAGGGCTGATTCTACCACATCTGGTGGTCCTGTAGGAAAGCCAAAGAGTATTGGAAGAAACTACATGAGGAAACTCAAACTCTCCCCTACGAACCATCAAGACCACTAAGATCGACTGGAGGGGCCCTGCTCTTGGTCCCTCCACCTGCACAAGCACGGCTGGTGGGGACGAGGGACACGGTCTTCTCGATGGTGGCCCCTCGACTTTGGAACTCCCTGCCATTAGAGATCAGAACTGCCCCCTCCCTCATGACGTTCAGGAAACTAACAAAGACCTGGTTGTGGAACAACTTACAACTGATTTAATTCTTTGCCCACATGAAAGGAGGATGACGAATGGGATTGTGATGGTGTCGGACGATTTGGCTCTTTTAACTGGGATGATAATGTTTTAATGTGTATGGTGCTGATATTTTAATCGTGTAATGAAGTGGCATTGTGTTGTTATTGTATATTTTTTGTATGTTAACACATGTTGTGAACCGGTCCGAATCCCTCTTTGAAGGTGAGAGGGTCGGTATATAAAACCTCGAAATAAATAAATAATAATAAATAAACTTTTAAAAATATAACATTTCAAATATGCCCAGAAACATATTTATTAGGAACAAGCATTTCTTTCTACTGGCTATTTTACTAAGCTTCAATAAAAAAGAATTTGTTTCTTCACTCAACGTGTAGTGTGTTTTAAAATCAGAGGGCTTTTTCCTGTCCTGTAGTGCAGCAATGATACTATATCTGTCATATACATGTGTGCGTGAATTATCTATCTATATTATTTATCTATATCTATGGATGGATGGCTCTTTGTCAGGAGGGCTTTGAATGTTTTTTTGCTCTGGTGAAAGGAGTTGGAATGGATGGCCTTAAGGCAGCATTTCTCAACCTGGAGGTCACGAGGGGGTGTCAGAAGAGTTACCAAAGACCACCAGAAAACACAGTATTTTCTGTTGGCCATAAGGGTTTTATGTGGGAACTTTAGCCCAATTCTTCCGTTGTTGGGGTTCAGAATGCTCTTTGATTGTAAGGGAACTATAAATCCCAGAAACTGCAACTTCCAAATGTCAAGGTCCATTTTCCCCAAACTCCATCTGTATTCATATTTGGGCATATGGAATATTAGTGCCAAGTTTGGTCCAGATCCATCACTGTCCGAGTCCACATTGCTCTCTGGATGTAGGTGAACTATAATTCACAAGCTCAAGGTCAACGTCCACCAAACCCTTCTAGTGTTTTCTGTTGGTCATGGGAGTCCTGAGTGCCATGTTTGGTTCAATTCCATCATTGGTGGACTTCAGAATACTCTTATAGGTTAACTATAAATCCCAGCAACTACAGCTCCCAAATGACAAAACCAATATTTTTTGAGTGATGGCCACTCCTTGGGTTAGTATGTGTCTTTTATCCACATTTGGTGTCAATTCGCCAAGTGGTTTTCGAGTTATGTTAAACACAAAAGAACATTACATTTTTATTTATATAGATAACAAAGATAAATCTTTAAAATAATGAAGATACTCTACTGATATATATATATAACAACAGCTATAAGAATAGTGTATGCGAGAAAGTGAAGATCGAAAGAACTGGAATTTAGTGAGAGACTACTTAACTCAAAAGAACATAAAAATGATGATGTAGTTATGTAGGACAATCCACTACCAGGCATTGGAGCAGAATGAAGAAGAGAAGAAGATAACAGGAATATCAGAAAGACTAGAAAGAAGAAATACTATCATGATAAAGAAGATTGGAAGTTCTAACCATATCTCTATGATAATATCCCTTCCCTATTCCCCCACCCCCATTCCAACGCCAAATATCACCATTCCTCCACCGTCACAGTCTCCCCAAACCCACAACCTTTTAATACAGTTCCTCATGTTGTGCTGAACCCCATCTATAACATTATTTTCATTGCTACTTCATAACTGTGATTTTGCTACTGTTATGAATCCTAATGTAAATATCTGACATGCAGGATGTATTTTCATTCACCAAATTTGGCACAAATACCCGATACGCCCAAATTTGAATACTGGTGGAGTTGGGGGGGGGGGGATTGATTTTGTCATTTGGGAGTAGTAGTTGCTGGGATTTATAGTACACCTAACATCAAAATGCATTCTGAACTCTACCAATGATGAAAGGAGATTCCATCTGAACATGAGGAAGAACTTCCTGACTGTGAGAGCTGTTCAGCAGTGGAACCCTCTGCCCTGGAGTGTGGTAAAGGCTCCTTCTTTGGAAGCTTTTAAACAGAAGGTGGATGGGCATCTGTCAGGGGTGCTTTGAATGCAATTTTCCTGCTTCTTGGCAGAATAGGTTGGACTGGATGGCCCATGAGGTCTCTTCCAGTTCTATGATTCTATGGAATTGAACCAAACTTGGCACAAAGAACTCCCATGACCAACAGAAAATACTGGAAGGGTTTAGTGAGCATGGACCTTGAGTTTTGGAGTTGTAGTTCACCTACATATAGAGACTCAAACAATGATGGATCTGGACAAAACTTGGCATGAATATTCAATATGCCCAAATGTGAACACTGGTGGAGTTTGGGGGAAATAGAATTGACATTTGGGAGTTGCAGTTGATAGGATTTATAGTTCACATACAAATAACATTCTGAACCCAATGAGATAATTGGGCCAAACTTCCCACACAAAACCCCCATGACCAACAGAAAATACTGTGTTTTCTGATGGTCTTTGGTGACTAGCACAGTGTCTAGATCTAGGGAAGTAATGCTACCCCTCTATTCTGCCTTGGTTAGACCACACCTGGAATATTGTGTCCAATTCTGGGCACCACAATTGAAGAGAGATATTGACAAGCTGGAATGTGTCCAGAGGAGGGCGACTAAAATGATCAAGGGTCTGGAGAACAAGCCCTATGAGGAGCGGCTTAAGGAGCTGGGCATGTTTAGCCTGAAGAAGAGAAGGCTGAGAGGAGATATGTACAAATAGCCATGTACAAATATGTGAGGGGAAGCCACAGGGAGGGGAGAGCAAGCTTGTTTTCTGCTTCCTTGGAGACTAGGACGTGGAACAATGGCTTCAAACTACAAGAGAGGAGATTCCATCTGAACATGAGGAAGAACTTCCTGACTGTGAGAGCCGTTCAGCAGTGGAACTCTCTGCCCCGGAGTGTGGTGGAGGCTCCTTCTTTGGAAGCTTTTAAACAGGAGCTGGATGGACATCTGTCAGGGGTGATTTGAATGCAATATTCCTGCTTCTTGGCAGGGGGTTGGACTGGATGGCCCATGAGGTCTCTTCCAACTCTTTGATTCTATGACTCCTCTGACACCCCTTGCGACCCACCCAGGGGTCCTGACCCCCAGGCTGAGCATGATGAGGTCCCTTGCATATCCCTCTCACAAGCAGAGACCTTCAAGGACCATTCTTTTTTTTTTTTTGTCGTGTCAGGAGCAACTTGAGAAACTGCAAGTCGCTTCTGGTGTGAGAGAATTGGCCATCTGCAAGGACGCTGCCCAAGGGACATTATTTTTACCATCCTTGTGGGAGGCTTCTCTCATGTCCCCGCATGAGGAGCTGGAGCTGATAGAGGAGCTCATCCGCCTCTCCCCGGATTCGAACCTGCAACCTGGCGGTCTTCAGTCCTGCCGGCACAGGGGTTTAACCCACTGCGCCACCGGGGGCTCCATACCTCTATGGATGCTTGCCATAGATGCCGGCAAAATATCAGGAGAGAATGCCTCTAGAACATGGCCATATAGCTGAAAAACCTACAACCTAATGTGGAGATGCTTGTATGCAGCTGGAGCTGCTAGAGAGAGCTCATCCACCTCTCCCCGGATTCGAACCTGCGACCTGTCGGTCTTCAGTCCTGCCGACACAGGGGTTTAACCCACTGCGCCACCGGGGGCTCCATACCTCTATGGATGCTTGCCATAGATGCAGGCAAAATGTCAGGAGAGAATGCCTCTAGAACATGGTCATATAGCTGAAAAACCTACAACCTAATGTGGAGATGCTTGTATGCAGCTGGAGCTGCTAGAGGGAGCTCATCCACCTCTCTCCGCATTCGAACCTGCGACCTGTCGGTCTTCAGTCCTGCCGACACAGGGGTTTAACCCACTGCGCCACCGGGGGCTCACATTCTTTCTTTTTAAAAAAATCAACAACCCACATACTTTGGTGCCCAAATTTTACATACATGATTTGCAAAATAGGAAGAAAAAAAAGAATTTACACTCTTTTGCATGTTTGGACAAAAGAGATGCCCATAAGTTAGTATCATAACACTTCGCATCCAGCCCTACCCTTCAGATTAAGTTATTGCCAAATAGAAATACATGTATATGTTTAATATAGCTAAATTAGGAATTCTGTAAGTTCAAAAAAGTTTCTTTTAAAAATGCTAAGGGTTAGATAAGAAAAATAAATAAGGTTGCAATATGCAGTGGATCCCAACCTTTGGTTCTCCAAGTGTTTTGGACTTCAGCTGCTAAACTGGCTGGGATTTCTGGGAGTTGAAGTCCAAAACACCTGGAGGCCACTGTACAGTTACTTGCAGTTTTGCATACTTACCCCATGGTTTCAATGGATCATTCAGTTGCAAAGGAAGGTAATCAGTTCCCCTGTTCATCCACAGCTTGCACTTCCCTCAAGTGCCTGCATCTACTGTTATGCCCCTCTGTCCTTTTTATAGTCCTGCTGGCTCTGTGCTTGGAAATAGAAACCGAAATCAGCTATTGGGAACTGAAACAGAATGTGACAACACTGGCATGCTCATTGGTTTCGTTTCTTCTCCTGCTTTGTTGTTTTCTTACAGGGAGGAGATTGGCCAGGGAAAAAATCTCCCCTCCTTCAACTCTTGGCCCTTTTGTTTGCTTGCTTGTTTTTAAACAAGAAAACTTACTGTCCTGATCAACTGGGATTGCAGAAGGAATCCCTCTGACAAAACACACTTAATGTAACCCTATTAAAACTGAGCAGGAAGAGAGCAGAGCAAAAATCTGCTTTGTTTCGCATTCCAATTCCTAGTGAAATGAAACCCTATGAAAACTGAGCAGGAAGAGAGCCGTTTTTTGCTATTAACAATTTAGCTGCTGTTATCAAATTAGAAACCAATTCTTTCTCCTCTTGTAAGGGAATTATATTGTCATTTATAAGTAACTAGCTGTCCCCTGGCACGCGTTGCTGTGGTCCAGTCTATTGATCTGGAAAATAAAGTAATGAGTTAGGTTCTTGTGGGTTTTTTCGGGCTATAGAGCCATGTTCTAGAGGCATTTCTCCTGACGTTTCGCCTGCATCTATGGCAAGCATCCTCAGAGGTTGAGAAGGACACAGCATATTATTTGAGAACACAGAAATGCTGGACCACTCTCACAACCACCATGTCACTCTGGCCCATGAGGTATCTTCCAACTCTTTGATTCTATGATTCTATGATTCCTTGAGTTGGTTTCTAATATATGTAATTTCTTTATGCTTGTGGGTAAACAGTATTTCTTGCTGCTTCTTTGTCAGTGTTGATGTGGAGATTGTCTGGTTTGCCCACTCTGGAACATGCAACATATTTTTCCGTTGTTACCCAGGCCTATTATATACCGCTGTTCTCAGCCCGAAGGCGACTCACAGCAGTTCACAACAAATAAGAACAGCAAAAATTCAATGCTACAGTGTAAAAACAGTTAACAACCTAACATATTACATAATTAATAAACAATTACTACAATAACCATTCACTATTCACTATCGTCTCATCATCAAAAACATGATCCAGATTCGTCATCCATTATTCCGTTCCAATGTTCATTAACCAATCATTGCACTAATTATTCGAACACCTGCTCAAACAGCCAGGTCTTCACTTTCCTGCGGAATACCATTAGAGATGGTGCTAGTCTAATGTCCGTAGGAAGGGCGTTCCACAGCCGAGGAGCCACCACCGAGAAGGCCCTATCTCTCATCCCCGCCAGCCGTGTTTGTAAAGCGGGCGGGATCGAGATCTATCTATCTATCTATCTATCTATCTATCTATCTATCTATCTAATCTATGGCTGGATGGCTCTTTGTTAGGAGGACTTTGATTATGTTTTCTTGCCCTGATGAAGGGAGTTGGATTGGATGGCCTTAAGTATATTCTGTTGGTCATGGGGGTTGAGTGTGGGAAGTTTGCCCTGATTCTGTCATTCGTGCGGTTCAGAACGCTCTTTGATTTTAGGTGAACTGTGAATCCCAGTGACTACAACTCACAAATGTCAAGCTCTATTTCAGTGTTTTCTGTTGGTCATGGGAGTTCTGTGTGCCAAGTTTGGTTCAATTCCATCGTTGGTGGAGCTCAGAATGCTCTTTGATTGTAGGTGAACTATAAATCCCAGCAACTACAACTCCCAAATGACAAAATCATATTTTTTTTTAGTCATGGCCACTCCTTGTGTAGGGAGATGTTTTGCTGCCAAATTCCAGCTCCACTGGCTGCCAGTCTGCTACCAGGCGCAATGCAAAGTGCTGGCTTTAGCCTATAAAGCCCTAAACTGTTCTGGCCCAACTTACTTGTCTGAACGCATCTCTCCTTATGAACCTTCCAGGATTTTAAGATCGTCTGGGGAGGCCCTGCTCTCGTTACTGCCTTTGTCACAAGTACAGCTGGCGGGGACGAAAGACAGGGCCTTCTCAATGGTGGCCCCTCGGCTATGGAATGCTCTCCCTAGGGATATCAGATTGGCTCCCTCCCTTTAAACATTCTGGAGAAGAGTCAAGACTTGGCTTTTTGAACAGGCGTTTGAAAACACAGTGTAACAGACATAGGAAAATGGAATGGTTGGACAATGTGATTGGACAATGTTTTAACAAGGAGACCCTAATGATATATGTTTTTATTGACTTTTGCTATGGTTTTATATTATCTTAATGTTTTTAATTGTATTGTAATTGTATTTTATGGTTTAGGTACTGACTGTGAACCTCCCCGAGTTGCCTGCGGGTTGAGAGGGATGGTATATAAATATAGAAAATAATAAATAAACTATGTCCTCTTTTTATTAGGGGTGTGGTTGGGGGTCTTCAATAACAACCCCCCTTTAAGGGCCTTGTAAATTGAAGTTTCCATTTTAGGTCCTCATATTTAAGGCTTCTAACTGCATCAGAGGCCTCTGCTGTGATGGATCAGACCAGGTTCTTTTGGTGAAGAACGGCGGAAGATGAGAATGACGGAAGAATGAGACCAGCAGCAGCTGAGCAGCAGCAGGGCAAAGATGCTGCAGAGGAAAACCAGAAATCCCTATCTGACCCAGCAAAATGAGGGAAGTCAACTCATTATCCACAATAAATACAGACCTATGTTTTCCGGTATACCTGCAGCAAGAGCTTTAATCTTTCGAACCCTGACATCGACCAGCTGGGAATTGTCAGTCAAATTAAAATAGCACATATTTTTGAACTGCTCACATCCATAATGGTGTGTGAGCAATAGAAAATCTATGGCAATGCAGTTATTGAGAATGGGCTCCCTCAAGTCAGACATCTCAGATGCCAGGGCTGCCAATGCCTGGGAGGTGTAGTTTATGTTTTTCACCAAAGTACAATTTCTTTATTGTCCTGTAATTCATGGCAGCCACCACCTATGGGGGTGAACAAGGCAGCTGCCACGAACTGGGGGACACTCTTTAGGGCCACATTGGAGTCACAGTTAGGACTACAATTTAGGATCTCTCTAACCACTTGATTGGGGAAGTATGTTTTTTCTTTCTTTTTTTCTATGACACTGGCCCCTTCCACACAGCTGTATAAAATCCCACATTATCTGCTTTGAACCGAATTATATGGCAGTGTGGACTGAGATAACCTCGTTCAAAGCTTAGATTGTGGATTTCCTGCCGTGATATTCTGGGTTATATGGCTGTTTGAAAGGGCCCTCTGTCATACTTTGCATTATATCCCTTGGCCACTTTTGGTAGATCTCTTCTCTCTATCACTCTTCACTCCTTTCCATCTGCTACTAAGGAGGCTGTCCAGGTCCTGAACCGGTGCTTGGCCGCTGTAACGGATTGGATGAGGGACAACAGATTGAAACTAAATCCAGACAAGACAGAGGTACTCCTGGTCAGTCGTAAGGCCGAACAGGGTACGGGGTTACAGCCTGTGCTGGACGGGGTCACACTCCCCCTAAAGGCGCAGGTTCGCAGTCTGAGAGTTTTCCTGGACTCATCGCTGAGCCTGGAGCCCCAGGTCTCAGCGGTGGTCAGGGGAGCTTTTGCACAATTAAAACTTGTGCGCCAGCTGCGTCCGTACCTTGGGAAGGCTGACTTGGCCACGGTAGTACACGCTTTGGTTACATCCCGCTTAGATTACTGCAACGCTCTCTACGTGGGGTTGCCTCTGAAGACTGCCCGGAAGCTGCAGCAAGTCCAACGCGCGGCAGCCAGATTACTAACGGGTGCTGGGTACAGGGAGCACACCACTCCGCTGTTACACCAGCTCCACTGGCTGCCAATTAGTTTCCGAGCACAATTCAAAGTGCTAGTGTTAACCTATAAAGCCCTAAACGACTCCGGCCCTGTTTACCTCTCTGAACGTATTCTCCCCTACGTACCATCAAGATTACTAAGATCGTTTGGAGAGGCCCTGCTCTCTGTCCCACTGGCCTCACAAGCACGCCTGGTGGGGACGAGGGACAGGGCCTTCTCGGTGGTGGCCCTGCGACTCTGGAACTCTCTCCCACTGGAGGTCAGAACCGCCCCGTCTATCCTGACATTCAGGAAACGGGTGAAGACGTGGTTGTGGAGACAGGCTTTCGATGAATGAGACAGCACCCTAGGATTGTGGATGGAAGATGAGGTATACTTCTTTTTAATATGACGACTGACCACTGTAGTTTTAAATATAGTTGTTATTTTAAATGTGTTATTGTAATTATGAACTATGATATTTTACTGATTGTATGTTTTTATGGTTGTAAACCGGGCTGAGTCCCTCTAAGAGGTGAGAAGCTCGGTATAGAAAACTTTTAAATAAATAAATAAATAAATAAATAAATCTATGAATGCCACCCTAATTCACAGATTTTGATTTCATAAAATTACATGATGTAATTATTGACTCATTTACTTTAGCCCATTCACCTTAAATATGGCAATATTCATAAGTTTCAGTTCTTGTTTTACTATGTTTAGCTTCCTCTTATTCATGCTTCTGAAATTTCATGTTTACATAATATGCACTGTGCAGTTTTGGATTTTTTTTCTCCTCTCAGCACATCAACAGCTGATTGTCCCTTCAAATTGAGTCCAATTGCGTTATTAAACCTAGTGCTGGTAATCCTCTGCTATTTTCCAGTAGCTCATTCAGTGCCATCCAGCTTAGAGATTCATCTTCTATCACTATATCTTGTTCAATTTTGGATTGTCTCATCTTTTTTTCATGGTAATAGCTTCAAAGGCAGCGGAAGACTGGACAGAATGTTAGCTTGCCCAATGGCAAATCCCCCAAAACATTAGACAATATGTTTAAAATGTCAAGGATTGCTTACTAGCTTGAAAATGTAATAGGAGTTCCAGTATTATTACTGGATGCAACTAAAATTTATATTGTATTACTATTTAAATAAAAATATATTTAAGAATATAATACATAACTCTAAAAAATAATTCTGATCCAAGTTATGTGAGACTGACACATGGATTACTTAGGTTCGGATTACTATTTC